CGGGTGCCACCTACCGGGTCCAACTATGCCTATCAATTTCGCGGAAGTGCAAGCAATATGTTGACATAGTTTTACCGCAATCTTATGAACGGTGTAGCGGCGCATAAAATACGAACAAAGTAAAATTAATGTTTAATGTTTATATATTAGATATATTTGAATGCCAAATTTTCACCTACTGGTACTGGTACTAGGCTCCTTAAAGCGGTTGCCTCAATTGATGAGATGGAGCAAATTAATGAGATTGAGATATAGCAATATGCTTGAAATGATTTGAAGCAGAAGGAGGAACTCTTTACGATGAACTGTTTCTTCCCGAAACGTACCCACAGATGGTGGACCTAGTCTAGTCCCGACTCTTCGACGAAAAATGAGAGTAGACGCCAACAGTTCCCCGATGTCTTAGTGGTCGTGAGGGAGAAAACTGGTAGAGAACACTGAACTTTGAGAGACACCTGAGATTTTCTTTATACAGTTAAGATGACAAACGAGCTCTTACTGACAATGCCAGCGTTTCCTTCCCATTTCATCATCATCTTTGAGATCGGGAGTCAACATACTTAAGACCCAAATATTTAAATTTAAATAATGTGTGTAAAATGTTATTATTTTATATATGGTACTATGTCGTGTTGTTTAGCTCGGTCACAGAGGACGTGACTCGGCCCTTTTTTACATTAATATGTGAAATCGTGAGAAAGGACGTAAATTCTACAGAGACCAAAAATAAACTTAGTGGAAAAATTAGCGTAATGTTCAATACAACTAAAGAAGAGATACGGAAAAAAATTATCAAATTGATAGGGCAAATAGGCTACGATGTAATCAAAGAAAAAGAAAACTGGAAGCGGTGCCTATCAGAATTACATATCAACGTGGCGTTATTTTAAACTCCTTTTTAACCGACTTCAACAAAAAAGGAGGAGGTTCTCAACTCGACTGTATTTTTTTATGTGTGTTACCCCATACCTTTTTTCTAGGTGCACCAATTTTGATGATTCTTTTTTATTTGAAAGCTGATGCTTCTCACGTAGTTCCATATAAATTTGATCAAGCTCGAACCAGTAGTTGAGTTATCCTTAATAGTAAAAAAGTAAAGTTACAGCCTATATACCGGCCCTTATTTCTGAGAGGGTTTTAGGGCAAGGAAGTGTCCGCTGCGCTGCCCCATTGCGTGTTGGCGAACTTCACATGTCTTCGAAATATTTTTTTTCTTATTCCTCAGACATGCGGGTTTTCTCACGATGTTTTCCTTCAGCGCCGAGCACGTGGTAAATCAGCACTTAAAATTGGAATTAACAATTTAATTGGTGCCGGCGGGGATCGAACCTGGGTTACTCGCGTTCTGTTATATTTTCAGCGAGCGCTAACCATATGATCTATCACGGCTCTCCTATTTTATCTTTTCCTTAATAATGCGTATTTAATTGACTTCGACTACACTGATGATGTTCTAATTTTATTTCGACTGAATTCGGCTGTACAAAATTTTTAGTTTTACCACAATACGGATGGTCCGAAAAATGCAATTGATGTTGGATACTTTGGTAAAATTTCCTTGATTTATTCTAAACCACCCATGCTAGTTTTATGTATTCATTTTGCTTGGTGATACTGCCATGAAATATTACCCGTTATTGACATATAATAATTTAATAGTTTTAGTAGTAATTCTGTTGGAGTAATGTTGTTATTACTATAAAATTCTATAATTTTATTAATAGTGCGTATGCGTAACGCTATCTTGGTTTAAAAATCGCAGAGAATTACTGCTCGTTACTAGTAAATTATGAAGAACTGTGATAGCTGTTAATGCACACTAAAATATTTCTAGGCGTTTTATAGGTTGTCAAAGTTTCCGTATATCTATCCTTTTATATATAGGTTGGTTTTAATACGGACAAAGTGTAGTTTCCAAGATGATGTTGTTGTGACAAGGATTAAGAAAGGAATGCTTAGGTGGTTTCATGTAGAAATAATGAGTGAGGAAAGAGAACAAAGCAACTTATGTTGCTGAAGTGAACGGCAGAGCAGGCAAGGGCTCCGATAATTATCGACCAATTTGGCGATATATTGAAAATGGTCTAGATTAGGAGTAACCTTTAACTGACGAGAGTGTATGGATATAACGGAGGCGAGAGAGATGTGTCAGGATCGTGCCAAATGGAAGTACGAAGTATCTGCCTATAAAATCCCTCTGGGTGATAGGTGTGAGTGTTTAACTCATGCCTGTCACCCAGAGGGATTTTATGTATGTTTCATTAAATATTTTAATAAAGTAAAATATTCGTGTGCACTTATACTTCTATATCGGAAGAGACCTACAAATTAAATGATGTATTTATACGTTACACCCAGAAATTAGCTGCAGGCTTTTGACTAGATGTAAAGGATAACTTTTTGCGCGATTACTACGGAACGCCTTATGAAAATCGTAAGGATACCAGCAAATTAATTCATAGTTTATTATAGCTAAATAAGCATATCTGTATATTTTGTAATTATGAAAAAAAAAACTATCAGTCGTAGGACGTCAGAAGTGAAAACCTCTTAGCTTCAAAACTTGTTAACATTTTACTGGGTTGTTAAGAAATGAATTTAGGAAGTTATATTTATTAGACATTATTTCTATCAATGTTTAAATATGGTAATAAAATTTTCATTTATCGCGCTGTTTTACATGAAATAAATTGTTATTATTATCTATACAATACAAACAAATTTATAAATAGATATCGACTTTATAAAACTGACTTTATTCAATTAGACTTTCAACATTACCTTCATCAATTTTATGTCTAAGATCGTGACGGTCTCGCGAATTCAGTGCTTTTTCCTCATTCTACAAGTGCCCAACGTGCCTAAAACCTTTTTACTTCAAAAATTATTATAGAACTTAAATGTGACCAAGTGTTAAGACTACAAAAATTTGAAAATTCCGAAAATAATATTATAACAGTAAAGACGATGTGTACACAATTGTTACTACCATAAACGTTTATTATTGTATTAATTAAAAGAAAATTTTTAAAAGTAAAATTTTAAATTTAATCAGTTTATATGACGAACAAAAACAAATTTTCTTTAGGCGCTCTAAAGAGCGTTATTTACTCGTATTTTTTAAATGGTACATGGTACCCATTTCTTTAACTGCCTTAACTTAGAACTTGGGATTTTACTTACCATATCTTATTATTTGTTATGTATGGACAGCACCGCGGACATTCCTGCTTCGATATTCTCTCAAAGATGAGAGGAGTTCTCTTTACTTTTTAGTTGGTTTTATAAATTCCGAGAAAAAACAAAAGGCAGTTTCTAATTTGCAAAACATCAATAGATAAACGTTGAGCGACTTTGTCAACTTAAAACAAATCTTTCTGAGTTGTAGATTTAAATTTTGAATTCCTTTTGCACTTTTTAATCAGATAACATAATCAGATAATCACCAAATAAATGCGTAACGTAACTTATATCATTTTAATGTTAAGCAACTATTACGTACCAACCGTGTTCCAAATTCGAGGACCCCACTCGTCTCATGGACCTCTGTGTCAAAAATAAAAATTTAATCCTTAAGAGAACTTGCTTTAGTGTAGTTATGTGGTATACTCCTTACGTATTTTTAGTGAATGAAGTAATTATAGAATTAAGTGAAGTTACTACGGAAAATTTGTTTATGTTAGTCTCTTTGTGAAGACTTACTTTACAGTGCTAAAAGTTATTTATTTATGTGTTATAATTATAAGATAATTTAGCTATTGAAACAGATTTTATTTATGGTCATATATAATATAAATTGATCTTTTATCGACGCGGTAGCACAGAGACTAAGCATTAGGTAGCGGCGCTGCTCGGCCTCGGCTTCAAATCCGCACGGAACAAGTGTTTGCACGGCACAGTAAATTGTTCCAGGTCTGGACGAGTGTCGATGTGAAATTTATCTATAAAAACGTGTATATTATTGTAAAGGGTGAAGTATAGTATTTAGTTATAGTATGAAGTGTGTAGTATTTAGATAAAATTTTATTAGGTATATTAAAAGGTACCAGGTCGTCACTCCATCATGCAGGAAATCAATGAATGCACGTGGCTCAGGACCGCGGTTTGTGGCACTCCTTAGGGAGGTCCATATTCGGCAGTAGACTTGTGATGGGCTGTAGTGATGATGATGACGACTGAAAGGTACTCTGTGAATAATTAGTTAAACTATTAAATATGTTTCAATTTTGCAATCGGTAGTATAAATCAGGATTTCACAATAAACTTTAATTTTTTAATTAACTTGCAGGAGATATGGAACTGAGGGTAATAATTCTTATGGTAAGTGGCAACATTTTGTATTGCATAATTTCCATAGCAAAGCGACATTTTGTGTCACGATTTTATGATAGTTACTTACGTAATTTTACTTAAAAACCGGTTAACAAAGGAGAATGTCGTTAAGCGGATCGTTGCAATATTGTAGGGACGATTTGTTGCTCAATGTTAGACACAACTATTACTTCCAACGACACGCTTTTTATTTATCCTATACCTTTAACCCTTTGACGACTACGGGGACAAATGTGTCCCTAGCCAATAATTATGAAAATATTCATAATTAAGAAGCCAATGCCCATTCCTTTATTTTTTATTAGTTCTTGAACGCAACTTTAATAATTTTTTTCGCCAACAACACTACGTAGGTAATAAGATATACTGTCTATGGTAATTGGAAATTGAAATCGTTTTCGGTAAAATTTTAAAAAGTTTTTTGGGACGACAAAGTGTTTTATATTGTTTTTATTGTGCTATTATTATTGCCTGGTAAGTAAATTGATATAATATATATTCATCAAACCATTATATGAGTTGTTTACAGTGATACGACATCATAAACATAAAGGGACACCAGCGTCCCAGTGGTCCATAAGAGACATTATTTATGAGAAATTATTATCTTATTCTACTGATGATTTTTGTCAATTGCCCTCATTTTTTTATTGATATTGTTACAGATTATGTTTCGTAAAGGACGTGGCGTTTTTGAACTCAAGAATGATGAAGTCCTACAGATTTTGATGGGTGACAATAGTGACGAAGAAGACGATTTACAACTGGACGAAGAAGATCAAAGGATTTTGACGCAGGATGATGATCAAGGGGTCTCTGACGTTGAAATTGAAGATACTCCAGTTCCACCTCAGGAATCAGTAAGTCTGCCACCTGAACCAACATCGTCTACAGCTGTTTTACCCGTCAACGGAGCACACAGTAATCAAGAACCACTTTTCAAGTGGAATCAGAGCACATCCGTGCCAAATACTTTTATTAATTATCAAGAAGTTGATGCTGATGTATTGACTCCCTTTGACATATTTTGTTCAACTACAAATTTTTATATTTTAGTTCAAAATATAGTACAGGAGTCAGTACGTTACGCTCATTAAAATGGCCGGGCATTTACTGTAGATGTAAAAGAAATGAGAGCATTCCTTGGTATGAATTTAGTTATGGGCTATCACATTTTGCCATCATTAAGAGATTACTGGTCTACAGAACCAGATATGGCAGACCTTTCATATCAAATGTTATGCCAAGGACTCGATTTGAAGAGATACGCAGAAATCTTCACTTCTGCAATAACGAAGAAGTGGGAGACACAAATAGTCCGGGTTATGACAGAGCGTATAAAATTCGCCCCATAATCGAACATTTCAACAATTCATTTCAAAATGCTCTAAATATATGATAAAATTCAAAGGGCATAATGCAATGAAGCTATACATAAAAAATAAGCCAGTCAAGTGGGGCCTCAAATTATGGTGTAGATGTGATGCTGCAACAGGATACCTGTTTGAATTTGACTTATATACAGGCAAGCGGACTTCTGTGACTGAGTACGGGTTAGGTGAATCTGTAGTACTTCAGCTTACGAAAAAGTTGGACGGATTAGGATGTGAAATTTATGTTGATAATTTTTTCAATTCACCTATGTTGCAGCATACATTGATTTATCAGAATACCAAGGCATGTGGAACCGTTCGAACAAACCGGAAACATCTTCCAAAAACTGCACCAGTTGACAAAAAATGAATCGAGGAGGTTTTGTTTCAATATACACCACAAGTTTTCAGGACATTTCATACGTGAAGTGGATGGACAATAAAGCAGTGCACTTGTTGACCAACTTTCTGTCACCTTTAGAAACAGACACCGTAAAACGACGCAAAGCTGGATCAGCGGAAAAAATTGATGTCAACATACATAAACACTCACGCCTGTCACCCAGAGGGGTAGGCAGAGACTACAGACTTCCATTTAGCACGATCCTGACATACCTTTCTCGCCTCTTCCACATCCATATACCTACGCATACATGCTCGTCGGTTAAGGGTACTCTTAATTTGGCCCATTTTTAGTATATCGCCAATTTGGTCGACAAACTTCCGCCTAGGACGTCCCTTTCCGACTCTTCCATTCACTTCTGCAACATATATTTGCTTTGTCAGTCTTTCCGCATTCATTCTTTCTACATGACCAAACCACTGAAGCATTCCTTTCTTAATCCTGGTCACCGCATCATCTTGCAAACCACACTCTTCTTTTATCACACAGTTTCTCACCCTGTCACTGAGATTCAGCCCTAACATACTCCTTAGCGACCGCATTTCTACTGCATTTATTCTACTCTCGTGCTTCTTCTGCCACACCCAACTTTCACTACCATACGTTAAAGTAGGGACTAATACAGCACTGTGAATTGCCATACGTGCCTTTTTTGACACATTCTGACTTTTCACAATAGAGTGTAGAGCCCCATTTACTTTATTTCCTGCATTCACTCGTCGTTCAATATCCTTATCATATCTCCCATCCCTGCTGAATACACATCCCAAGTATACGAACTCATCCACTTGCTCAATTAACTCTCCTTCTATTCTTATTTCACATACCGTTTTGCTTTCATCTCTTTCAAAAACCATTTGATGTCAAATGCCCAAAAATTGTATCACACTATAACAAAAACATGGGAGGAGTAGATCTTATGGATCAACGTAAAGTGTGCTATGAAATCGATCGCAGATCGAAAATAAAATACTACCTGCGACTATTTTTTGAATAACGCACATACTGTCTACGCAAAGCTTCACGATGAAAAACAGTTGGAAGGAGGTCTGTTGTCTAGTTTGCAGTTCAGACAAGTCGTTGCTCGAAGTTTGATAAACGGTTTCTCTGTCAGGTAGCGAGACGTTCCCACCTCAAAATCAAGTTCAGTACGCAGATCTGTAAAACGACAGTTACCCACACACCCCATGGAAAAATCAAAAACCAGAAAGAGATGTGTCAACTGTGCCAAGTGCAGGATAGAAAACCGAACAAACAATACTTGTGTTCTATGTAAAGTTCACCTTTGCTACACTAATAAAAGGAACTGTTTCGATGAGTACCACAACTAATTACTCTAAATTGTATATTTTTCATGAGTAGATAAATTTGCTTTTATAAATGTGCGGTTTTCAATATACGATACCTCAAATACCGATAAAATCTCGAAAACGTGAAGAATAAGTTGTATAGGCAAAAAGTATCGGCCATTGGCCACAGGGACAGGTTTGTCCCAAAAATTTCCAAAAAAACTATAATTATTTTTGGTATTTTAATAAAAAAATATCTTTATTATTTGCATAAATAACTGTTATATAAAGCTGTTAAGATTACATACCTTCCCATACTCTTATGGTCCTGAAAGGGTTAAACGAGCAATTCTTGTATATATACAACATGTAACATAATTAACGCACTTTGAGAAAGTAGTTTGTTCAGAATCGTTTACTGACTCGATTCCTATCATTTTTAATATAGGTAATTTTTTTATCCCAAAAATAATTAAAACTACGTAAATTACAGTCACACTAAATCTGTACAGTCAAAACAAACTGAAAAGGACCGTAACTTAAGGCAATAAGACTTTTAAGAGTGCAGTTTTATTTGTATTATTACTAATTCTGTCATGTCATGTCAATAAAAATAAAGAAAAATGAACTTTATTTCAAGGACGTTAAAGTCTTTGCGTTCGTGGATTTGTACTGTGACCACAACATTCTTCCGGAATTAGTATAACTAATTTGATGAATAATCAGTGCATAAAAATGTTTAACTAAAAATTTTGTGTATGTATTATGATTATATATATATATATACTAATTGGGGTGTTAGGTTATTATTACATATTGTATAATCGGAATCTCGGAAACGTCTCCAACGACTTTCATAAAATTTAGTGTCCAGGGAGTTTCGGGGGCAATAAATCGATCTAGCTAGGATTTATTTTTAGAAAATGTCCTTTTGTCCGTGTTTTCAGGCAATAAAAAAGCTGCTACAATATAAGAAGGTACATTTCGACAAATCACTAACGATCGTTATAGCTCAGATGGGATGTCGGTCGGGCTCGATATCGGAGTTCCGTGGTTCGCGTCCTGTCTCTGGTCTAGCTGTTTTCCTTTTTTTTTTCAAGTTCCCTTCTTTTGTGAGAAAATCAATTATTTCGCTCCCTTTTTTTAGTAATTTTTAAGAATACGAAAATTTTAATAAAACTAATTGCACTTATGATTTTTTTATTCAAATAATCAGTTCAGTTTTTTCTATTCTGTCAATAAGATCAAAAAATATTATTTAAGTTTCAACAGTATGTAATTTATAAATGTAATTTCAAGAAAAAACACCGAGCAAAGCTCGGTCATCCGGATACTTGTAATAAATGCTCGTTCTAAGAAAGAAACTGGGCTAATAAGCGAAAGCACATGTATTTAGAAATACCTCATGGTGGCGATGGATCAACGTCAACTATGTGCTACATTTGTCATGTGTAACGTTTATATATAAAAAATAGGTTCACGGCCGCGAAGGGTTAAAAATATTACGTTATTTTAACCCACCCTTAATTATATTATTAACAATATTTGTTTGTTTTTTCGTTTACTATGCGTTCCCCCACCCACCCATTAAGTATTGCAACGCTTGCCGGTTAAAGCAAGTTTTACATATTTTTTTTAACTTTCTATGTAAAGCCTAGCGCACACGCAAAGTGCATTATTCCCTTAGTACTTACGTACTTATCAACCACTATTAGGTACTATTTACTGAAAAGTTTTCGTATTTAATATCTCAATCTCCTGCGTAAATGGCTAGTTTCCGTTGAGAATGGCCGCCATGACCGAAACTCGGCCTACTGTTTGATGTATGGAGTGTAGAGGTAAGGAGTACAGACTCTGTATAAAAAGTATCCGTAGGAATGCGCTAGATAAGGGTGGCGCCACTGTAGCTACAATCTATATTTTAAACAACTTTTTATAATTTGTTTATTGCACAGACTTTCCATACTTCTTTTTACAATAAATGGGTGCGTTTGGCAGAAAAAAGCGCTAGCAAGCGCTTACTAGCGCTAAAATAGTTTTCGGCCAGGACACGATTGCTACTTCAGTAGCGCTGACACAATCCGCCATTTTGCTTATTTAGTTTGTTTGTTTTGAAGTAGAGTTTATAAGATGTTTTTTGCAATATTAGTTTTAAGTAATATAATGACATGAATAGACATATACATGTTATTAAAAATTCATGATTGGTAAATTTTTAATATGAATACTTCACAAACATATATTTAAATTAGGTTAGGTTCCCCGGTTAAAACTAACATCGTGTCCTAGAGGAAAATAGCTACTTACGATTTGGCAGCGCTTACCGCTTACGATCGCCATTTTGCTTACAAGCGCTTGCTAGCGCTTTTTTCTGCCAAACGCACCCTTTATTTTATAGCTTTCAAAATTTTTATTTTTAAAATCACTTTCAACGTATTTTAAGGCGATTTAACATACCCCGTAGCTACTCGAGCGCTATAGTGGAAAATTTTTGAAATGTTATTTACTGCTTACAGACATTTTTTCAACTATTTTTCTATGTGAGTTGGTACTCCTTACTTCCACACTTCATAGTTTGAAGGGTATCATGGAGGTTAGAGAGAAGGAGAACGTTCGCTGTAGAAAATAGTGTCCCAGAAATATGGACAAAATAAGTGATGCGCTGCTTTCGCTAAGTTGTCTCAATAAAAGTCATTTTCAGTCTATTTTTCAGATCAGGTGCTAAACCACTTGTACATCCACGCACAATACAATATTTCACCATTTTTAATGTTTCTTTTTGTATAAAATTAAAAAAAATCACGATTATTTTCTCACCAATGCAAAATTTGTACATTATTCAACTAACTTCATCTACTTGTACTCATAAACAGCTAACTTCGCAGATACAACTTACGGACGGCAGTTCAGGCACAGACTAAATAGTGGATTCTACCGAATAGTTCAGGGACAGGCGGGCTATTCTTTAGCACGTAGCGATCGTTCTCCTTCTCTCTAACCTCCATGATGGGTATGTTGAAAATAAGAACATTTTTTAAAAGTTATTAAGCGCTCTAAACACATCACATAAATTCTCAGTAAGTACAGAAATATTTAAAATATAACGCAAACATTTAAAAATGCAGTAAATAATATATATATTTAAAATCTTTTAATTTAACCTATGGTAGTAATAAACAAATATCTTTGTAATAAACTTTTTTAAATACAGTGATAACGCCATCTAGTTGCAAATTGCAATAATGCTAACCTATACATATTGATAAATAGATAACTTTACTATTTTGTATAACAATCTTCTACTCCTCAAGAAGTAAATAGGCGCAGATTTCTAAAACATGTATATTTATATTTACAATTTTATTTTATATTGTATTTGCATATGTTATTTAAATTTTATTGAAGGGGTTACGAACATAAAAAACTGATTACGTGAAAACTTTAGTTTGGTAACTTGGTGCTTCTGATGTAATCTAAGGCCTCTAGTTTAGTGGCAACTGCCAATATTTACATCTAAAAGCCTCTACCGTACTAGTATATGTAGAAACTTTAGTTTATTAGCACTCGATAAACTAAAAAAGCGGTCGCGGTTCGATTCTTATATTGACCCCGTTTCCTTCTTATCGGTTGAGTAAACAATAAACAGAGTAATAAATATTCATTATCTCAGATCGATGCGTGAATAGTTTTAATAGGATTCTTTTTTTAAAGAATTAAGTACAGTAAAAGCTCTTTATTTGCGGTATATGTTCCGTAAATATGCCGCGAAGACAGAAACCGTGAGTATGGAATGGTAGTTTATATGGGATTATAGGGTATACGTTCCTAGGTGAGAAATTAAAAAAAACAAATACATAAAAATCAATTTAATTGAAGATTTTGACCATATTGATTAATTATTATTTTCGGGCTTGTTGTTGACAATGGTTTAAATAATTTTGTAATTTTTTCTTGCTTGGCAGTCTATAAAAGCTTCTTTCTATAAAAGTCTTTAAGAGCTACAATAGATAATATGATATGATCATATTAAATTTAATTCAGACTAAAATTCAAGAAGAATATCAAAAATAAGACTCGGTTCCATACGGATCAATTTTCATAAAGAAATCACAAAGCTCATTTACCATTCTTGAATCTTCACTAAGATTTTTTGAATTATTTGTCACATTTCTTGACTTTATAAATTAGGAAGACAGTGTTAGAGACGTGTTACTCGATTACAATTTTTATAACGAATGGAAAGACGAAAGATGAAACAATAAAACACGCAAAGCGGTTCTTACCACAGGACGGAACGTCTAATAAGTGGCAGCATCTTTGTGCTGTTTTAATTCTGTTTGTTTACATTCTCCAAAAACAGACAAACCACCACCGACATCGACCGCAGCGAAGGTGGCCTATGACAAAGGCTGAACTAATACTAGGCTGCACTAAAAGTTCCGGGAAAGGAATATTTCCACTGTCCTTGTCATATTAAAATTTTTTTAATTGAAAACTACTTGGTTTTAAAAATCGAATACTATTTATTTATTTAAAAAATTATTCTCGGTCTTGGCACAATGTTTTGTCAAACTTGTTTAGTTGTTGAGAAAATGGAATTGACTCGAGAAAATTCAAGTGATGATTTATTATGATTTTCGAAGTGGTTTAACACAAAAATAGTGTGTTGACCGGATGATTTCTGAATTTGGTGATGAAGCCCCATCCAAAACCACAATTTGTCGCTAGTTTGCTGAATTTCAACGTGGAAGTGTCAAGTGTGATGATCCCCGTCAAGGTCGTCCAAAAACTGCAGTCACCCAAGAAAAAGTTGATGCTGTGCGTAAGCTGATTGAGGAAGATCGACGTGTGACATACCGCAAAGTTTAGGCAACTTTAGAAATTGGCATGAGTCAAATACAAATAATCTTGCATGAACAATTAGATGTAAAAAAGTTGTTTTCCCGATGTATACCGCATTCGCTCTGTGAAGAGCAAAAAGCGGCTCGCGTTACTTGCTGCGTCAGAACTCTCGAAAGATTCCACGCAGGATCCTCAAATGCTGTATACAACATCGTATCAGGTGACGAATCCTGGATATATGCGTACGAACCCGAAACAAAAAACCAGTCACGAGTTTGGGTGTTCGAAAATGGGTTAAAGCCAACAAAAATTGTTCGTTCACGGAGTGTTGCAAAAAAAATGGTGGCCACGTTTGTCTCCAAAACCGGCCACGTTACGACTATTTCTCTTGAGGGACAAAGAACGGTTAATGCAGAATGGTATGCTAGCATTTGTTTCCCACAGGTCGTTTCTCCGAACTCTGTAAAGAGAACTGCAACCACCGCATCATCCTCCGTCACGACAATGCGAGTTCTCACACCGCACACAGAACAAAAGAGTTTTTAGAGCAAGAAAACATAGAATTATTAGACCATCCGCCGTACAGCCCCGACTTAAGCCCTAATGATTTCTATACTTTCCCTAAAATAAAGAATAAATTGCGTGGACAGAGATTTTCATCACCTGAAGAAGCTATGGACGCCTACAAAACGGCCATTTTGGAGACCCCAACTTCCGAATGGAATGGTTACTTCTATGATTGGTTCCATTGTATGGAAAAATGTGTCATATTCGCGGAGAATACTTCGAAAAGCAATAAATACTTTTTAAATAGTAATGTTGTGTCACTTCCTTGATTCCCGAAATTTTCAGTGCCGCCTCGTAGAGCAGCGATATTATTTAATAACATACTTTAGGCGTAGTTGTAACAAGGGCTATTTTACATTTTTATTAGTCCATTTGACGACGCGTTTACAAAGAATATTGGGTTGGATGCCTATTGGAATCCTTTTTTATTAATATGTATGTACCGATTAGATCCGCGAATAATGAAATCTTTGAATATAGGAATTGGGTTGCACTTTAATCCACTATTAATCCACGAATAGTGAAAACGCGAATTAAGGAAGCGCGAATAAGGAGCTTTTACGGTACGTTTAATATGTACATACTGGTAAATTAAAGGGAGCTACTTACGAAAGCTTCAACTATGACCTTACTTGGAACTGGAATTACTATTTCTGAGTTTTAATTTCAGCCAGGACCAACATTTGTTAAAAAACTTAGCTGAAAAAAAACCTTTTGTCAGTTTTATAGATGATTTATATTTTTTATTCACGTGAGTTTCACAATTATTGATCTAAACCTACCAGCAAATTAAAGCAAAATTAGCTATAGTCCGTAGAAATTAATGTACGATGGACGTTGGTATTTTAAGGAGTTTTCTAATCGAAATGGAAAATTGCAAATGTAGTAACTACTACAGACTCACTTTACCTCACTAATAACCAACAAGAGTTTGTTCGATCAAGATCAACTTGCACAAACCTTGTAACTTCTACAGTCTTTGAAAAAACCAATACATGCAGGTAGAAAATACGATGCGATATACACTGATTTAAGTAAAGCTTTTGGTAGAGTTACGCATAAAGTTATCAAATACAAATTAGTCTTTTATGGGATCGCTAGATCATTGTTGAAATAGGTGAAGTCATACTTTAAGTATCGAAGTTTTAACGTTTGGTACACGTTAAAACTTCGATTAACTTCGAAATCAACGTTGGACGTTGTATGGAGAACAGTGACACGCTTATATATAACTATACCTACTTATTTTAAAAGTGTGTCACTGTTTTCTACACACTCAAGGTGTTTACGATTATTGTTGCCACCTATATTGTTATTAACAACATTAGTGTGATTTATATTTACTTGATCTACTTTCTGTTTAACAAATACGTCAATATACGGTTTTGTGAATTGCACAGTTTTCCTCAGAAGTGCTGATAAAAATATAATAATCTACAAACTTGTTATGCTTCTGTTTTTATAAAAAATCATTAAAAGTGACATATTAGTGTTGTGGCCAACTGATTGATGATTTGACCCATAGAGATTGCGCCATAGCGAGTATTCGAAAATTATTACGATGAAAATTATTATATATGGCGGCGGCAGGAGGGAGATGCGACGACGACAGCGTCTCCACATCACCCTCCTGCTCCCCCACTGTGGCCGTAGAAAGCAAGTCGGGCAAGGTGTTCTGCACGGGGAGCGGCCAACACTCCATGTGATAGTTCGGAGATGTTCTATATATACTGTTTGTGATTCGGAATTTTGATAGCGTGATTTAGGCTTCGGTGTGTTTCGCTTGCGGCGCGACGACAGCGCCGCCACAAATACTATAGAGCAACCCATTATTTAGAGCACTATTAACATGCTTCTCACTCTAATATAAAAAAATGATAAAATTGAGCACTGCACTTTCCAGATGGCGTGTTTCTCCTACCTCGTGGAAAATGTATGCCCGGTACCAGTTGGCAACGTTGCTACACTGGGCGCAGCTGTTGGTGCTTTCAATAGTGCCATAAGGAGTGCAACTTTCGCGAAAGCCGGAACCTTAGCCTTCAAGCACGTAGCTGATGCTGTGAAGAGAGTTGCTAACTTTATAGGAAGTAAAACGCTAAACGCTATAGCGACAAACGGAGCTTTTACTCGTATAAAAGGTATTCTAAGAATGTGACAAACTCTTTTTAATTCGAGTGACATGCAGTTTCGTGGTCACTTGGAAGAGAAGACCAAATTGGTCTCTTGAAAACTAGGCGTGCTCAGAAGAGCGAGACATTATTTCATGCCTGCACGCCGTCTGCAACTTTACAGGGCACAGGATCGGTGGCACATCGAATACTGCTCCCATCTCTGGGCTAGGGCTCTCCAGTGCCAGCTCCTTACATTTGATCGCAACCAGCGCCGAGCTGGTCGAATCGTCGGCGACCAAGCTTTTTCCTGTCGGCAGATGTTGCATCTCTTTGCATAATTTATCGCATTTACCGCGAACAGTGCTTTGAGGAACTATACAGACTAATTCCAGCCGTACAATTTCACAATAGCACATCGCGAAAAAACTCGCGATATCATTCATACCATTTGGATGACTGGCGGTCCACCATTGCGCGATTTAAAATAAGTTTTCTTTCTTACACAACTTTCTTGTGGAATCGACTACCACCAGAAACTTTTCCGGACTAATGCGACTTAGTGGCCTTCAACAAAACAGCCTACTCCTTTTTAAAAGGCCGGCAACGAATTTGCAATTCCCATGGTGTTGCAGTTGTTCATGGGCGGCGGTAATCACTTAACATCAGGCGAGCCGTATGCTCGTTTTTTTATAAAATTGGGTGACAAAAGAGCCCAAGGTCCATCTGATGGTAAATGGATGTTGTAGCCCATAGACATCCACATGTAGGATACATTAAGAATATCCTACATGTGGATGTCTATGATATATATGATACAATTAACAATCAAAATGCAAATGCGTTGTTACCCCTGAGGACTAAGATGGAATGTCTCGATTCCAGTGAAAAGGGTCTCCAGTCTCTATACTCACCATACAAAATACAACAGTATTACGCTGCTATTTTACGCTAGTATTCTGTAAGAGCGTGATCTTGCCCCGGTCGAGCCGACCCATTACATACATTTTACAACTATAATATAGCTGCAGCATGGCTCTACCACGTAACGTTTTAAAACACGTTTGCCCCCTCTCCTACAAAAAAAGACTAAGGTAGAATACCTCACTGCCTGTAATTACACTGGCTGTGTATACCCTTTAGACCGGACCGGTGCACGAAGTTTGGGGCAGAAATAGATAAGAAGGTCCTACTCGGGGGGACTTCCAGGTATAAAAGAAGTCCTAATACAGATGAAATAATAGGTTTATTAAACCTTTCGCTGTCCCGTGTACAAAATATAGGTCATTGATATTGTCTTACTATTTTGTCTGAAAACCGGACAGTGAAAGTGTTAATATTTAAATTATAATCGCGTTAATTCGGTAAACCACTACACACTATCTTACTTCCGGAACGATACGACTTAGGGACATTCAGAAACGAGCTTATTCCTTTTTAAGAGGCCGGAAATCCACTGGTGTTGTAGTTGTTTATGGGGGCGGTCGACACTTACGATCAAGTAAGCCGCATGCTAGTTGGCCCCCTCTTCTATATAAAATAAACTGTAACAATTTTCTGTTTCCATATCTCGCTATTAACTTTTCTTTCAATCCGATTCCTGTTGTTTGTTTATTTTTAAAGTTGGATATTTAGAATTTTTTTTAAATGAATACTAGGCTATTAAATAGAGTCACATCAAGTCTAATAGTGTCGACGTCCCGTTATCATGAAACAGATGGGCAGCAAAGTGGCTGGCTGGTGTCGCTAACAATAGGGTATTTTACCCATTTTCAAAAATTGTTTTAAATGAATCCTAGAGTTATAATGAACCACTATAATTTTTTTAAACCTAATAGTGCCATAAAAATTACTTTTAACTATACCATACTAAAATCGTCTTCAGTAGATATATTAATATCTAACGTCAACTGTCAACATGGCGTCGATAAAGCATCGCCCTTTTGACCCTTTACTATTTGAATATCCGATGAAGAGCTATCGCATCACAAAGTCATCTATGCAAACAAGACTGTAGTTTTTGAGTAATAGAAAAGTAACCGTAGATATTAACCGGATGGCCATATTACAGTCACGTACTTTAATAATACTGTAAAATAAATTTGTTGTGCTCCGGTTTGAAGAGTATAGAAAGCCAGTACAGGCTGTGAAGCATTTAATCTTAGTCCTCAAAGGTGAAAACAAATTTATAGCTTTCTTTGTTTGAAATTAGTTGCACATTTGCTTGCCATGGACTTGCAGTAGCTACATACCATCAGATGAACTGTGAGCTCGCTTGTCACTTCAATTTGATAAAATGTATGTGTAGCTAGTGTAGTGGAGTCACTAAGTACACATACATTGGGTGATTTTGTGGGTGTGTGGTGAGTAGTATTTATTGATAGATTAATTTCATAATATGTTAATGTATAATAATAAAAAATGTAAAATATCAGTGCCATATGCTTCCATTCTGTTACACCCTATTTTTATCCAGACTGTAAAAAAAAATTAATCCTTATGGGCGATAGCGCATCTGCGTAATTTAAATTTTGATGATAATAACTTTTTATTAGTTTATTTCGTGCGTGCGTTTGTGACTCATTATAACTCTTCACAAACCCTCTGCTGAACATAGGTGTTTCCTCAAGGAATACTACAAAACACGATCCTGATATAAAGGTTGGTACTTTTATATTACAACGCGCGGCCGCCGCTCGTGAACCTTTCTGCCCCATTGGTTATTAGTTGCTCGAGCTATGTTCACCGATTCGTGGGGTTTTGTAAGTTACCTTAGTTTTACGAAGTTTATCACGCTTGTCGTCCTTAATCATATAAAAATGTATTATTACATGGGCTTTATTTTGTTTTTACAGGAGCAGCGTTAGCAGCGAAGAAGGCAGCGGCGATAGCTGCAGTGCAGGGTGCCGTGCTGGGCACGGGCGCGGCAATTGGCGCTGCGGTTGTCGCCCATAAACCTTACGTTGCCCACAATGAAGAGGTATTTTATTCATGTGTAGTAATGTAAGTTTAAAAATTTTGATGGCGCTACCGGCCACAGGTTCATTTACCGCACGGAAAAATTGTATAGCCCACAAATAATTGCTTTGTTTGATGTTTGTCCTTGTGGAATTTATGTTTGTAAAAGTGGAGGTAACATCATACCGAAAAAACCCTAGCGTGGAGGTAACGTTAAAAATATAAAGATTCGAATGCTATTTTTCTTGACATATGAATTCAGTTACAGTCCTTTCCATTACTTTATATTCATCAGTAAACGTACATCAGACAATCCTACATAGGTGCTGCTTTTTATCACCACTCTTAGACTCGGTGTAACTGGGTTGATGACTGAAACTCACTCACCTGGGATGTATTCTTTCTTAAGCCAGCTCCACCACGTGCAGAGATTGGTATTTAAGAGCCCTCTTACATTTCGGCGTTACGCAAATTTAGGTATTTACGCTCCGAGCGGGCGGTTATCTACGCGAGCGACACTTTATTTCCATATCTTTTCAAACGCTCGCACTACGGTACTGTGAGTATAGCGACTAAACGATCTTGATCTTTCATTATACAAGTTTTCTTTTGATGGATTTCGGTGGTAGGATAATTTTTGGTGTGTCGTTTCTATATTATCTAATTAATTTATTATAGTCTATTTGATATATTTCTCATTATTTACGAACCTTAGTTTTGAAATAAGTACACATAAATATTTCAATTGTTTCACAGTAATCGATTGTTAACCGATGTTGGTTAATAATCGATTATATCTGCTAACGGTAGCATAGTGGTATTAATAAATTAGTAGTACTGTTGCAACATGTTTTAATAAATAAAATAACCAACTGTAACTTATATTTTTTTAATTGGTGCTTACAGTCAATTACCATTCCTTTATTATAAAGATAGTCAGTAATTTCAGGCAGTACACACTTTTTATAAAACGCTTGTAACTTTGCGAACATATTCAAAATCCAAAACTTGTCGTCTTTGTAGATTTTTAGCTCTTTTACTGCATAATCTGGGCCAGTCCATATGGCAAGCATACAGACATTTTATCCTTCATTATTTTTTCTCCAAAGATAGGATATTTCTTTTTTTACGTTAAGTGTCACATTGATATTTGTATTTATTTTTCCCCATTCGGACTGGTAAGAAAGCTCAGCTAAAATAAATAACTATAATGAGTTAACTATCTGGTATAATAATAATGAGCGAACTTTATATTAACTAAAATATACTGTACTAAAGTAAATATTTCCAACGATTAAAAATTGCGGCCGTAGTTAACGACGCTCTGGCACAAAAATTCAGCGCTACGACTAGTGTTGTCAGGTTTTAAGACTGAAAAACCGGACAGACCAATGAACTTAGGCGGGCATTTTGGTGAAAAGGCCGGACACCCTTAATTTTTTAGTCTTTGTGACAATTTTTTTAAGTAAAACAATGCTTTTTATTATTTACCAAAAATATTCTCGAATTCTAATGAAATAAAACTTACCTTTTTATCCTTCATAGAATTCTTGGATTTAGCGATTTTTCGTATTTGAAATTTAGCATTCTTTAATTTTTCTTTTTCTATTCTTTTAATTTTTAAAATTTCTTAGTTCTTACTTCTCTATTTTAACTTCCTCTTTATCTACATAAAATTTTTGCCACACCGCAGATGAAATAGCTGCAGAAGAAGGTGCATGTGTACTGTTAACAGTTAATTTTTTACGGGTTACGGTTTAATTAAATGTTTTTTGTATTGCATCTCTATATTCTTCATTTAATAGTACTAAAACCAACGTTTCACTAGTTTTTAGAGGTGGACTAGTCCGTTTTGTTGGAATATCACACATTTGCTAAAGTTTCAGAGATCTTGTTTGTTATCATCGGTGTTTGTAGTGATATCATCGTGGTCATTAGGGTCGTTATTATTTCATTACTGAAATCTATTATCATTTCAGGCATTGCCAGTACTGTTGTCGTTGGTAGGCTTATTTGAGTTTGAATTACAAGAACATCATATAACGATATTAAGGAACCAATATCCAAATAACTTTCTGACAAATACAATGTTGAAATTTTGTTATCGATTAACGATTCTGATGCATCGGTAGATGGATAAATAGTTAGCTCAACATCGTGAGTTAGAGTACTTTTAACTTGGTCTATGTTGCACGGACTTTCTGTAGATTTAAATGGACTTAGCGATCTTCTATTGCTTAAATGGAGGATTAAGTCTTCGTTAGCCTGTGGAACAATATTGATCTGAGAAGACTTTCTTTTCAATTTCCTTGTCTCATTTACTATAAAAGCAACTCTTATGTTTTTTCTGCCATAGTTGGTATTTAAATTGTTTCTAAACTTTTATTGTGGAAACTAGGTCTGCGTTAGTTATTTCTTTAGAAATATTTATTCTTTCTTTTAATTATCACTATATTATACACTATAATTAACACTATAATATTTCAATTTTAAGTTGGCCGAAAACTTAATAATTATTTTAGAGTCAATCTACTTTTCGGCCACGACCGAAATGGGTATTTTTGTTTCATCACTAACTGCTCAAATTGCAGTACTTGGTGGCCGAAAACTGAAAGTTGGTGTCTACGCACGCTACGATGCAATATAAGTAAGAAAGATGAATTATAGTACGTAACCAAATAAATAAAAGAGACAAAGTATTCAGGCTTAACTCAGGCTACTTTTCGGCCGCATGGCCGACAACCAAATAATAGGACAATTTTGTGTGTCACTTTTCGGCCACTTCATTTATTAACTTTACTAATAAACTATTATAATAATCAATGTCAAATAACTGTATTAGGTTATTTATACAGTAAATTGTAAGCACAATATTAAGTAATTACATTAAATAAAGCACGAAACTTACTTTTGAATGGAACGCGCGCCACTATTTTTTTTTGTTCGATCTTACACGTTTTGACAGCTTCTCTGCCGGCGTCGAAGTAAACAATTTATTATAAATTGCGTGTTGTGTTTATCTAATAAATTAATGTTACCAGATATAGTGCAACTATTTACAAATGCGTTAAACTTCATTTCGTACGATAATATTTATTAAAACCGTTATTAAACCAAACTTACTGCATCACCTCGTGCCAAAGGCCGAAATCTAGACCCGGCCGGCTTACCGGCGCATCGACCCTACTATAGCATGGTTTCAAAATACCTACTACATCAATCCGCTATGATAGCATTTTTACAATTTTTTATTACATTTTTACCTACATATTAATTACTTTTATTACACTATTCTCTAGACATATGGTATTTTATTTATTTTATATTCAGGGCCCAAAAAATTTTAGTACAATTTTGGTATAAATGAAGCAATCGCTAACATTTCAATTTAGTCAATCACTAACGTATATGTAAAATAAATGGCTTTTTTACAGCACAACGATAGTGACCGATATTTTTGTGTAAGTAAGTAGCACGGTGAATGGTAAATGCACGCTGTGCTTTCAGAGATATGGTTTATAATTGATTGTGTAGTACGTTCTGATTTATAAAATGCGAGTGTGTGCGCGACTGTGTATCTATTGCTTTTACTGATCTGCATATGTAGTAGTTGACGCGTGGTAGGGGCCAACTGGAGACACCGGGTTCCGATACATTTTCAACTACTGGGCATATCTCCTTATTTCTTATATCTATGGTGGCAACGCTTGCCACGGCCTTCGACGCCCACTACGATAATATCGAAACAAGACGGAACGCGCGAAATATATTAGTACAGGTCTAGCCTAGACGAGCGCTCGCACTCTATTTAGAGGACCGGCGCAGTGAAATATATGGTACTTTTATTTAGTTAATTATAAAATAATAGTAACGAATTAAAAAGTAAAAATCATGGTAGAGCTTAAGCAAATGTTGATGACTATTTTGGTATAAATTTTACGTCAAAATAATGTAGAGCTTTGGAGATATTGGAGCTTGTATCGAAGGTTTTTCGGTAGATAATTGAATTATGTCGATTTTTTCCCTTACGTGAAAGCATATTATAATGAAAATGTATTTAATAATTATTAAAGTATAGGATATTTATGAGAAAAACATATTTTTTCAATGGCCGATTTTCAATAGAATCTACAAATTAGAGCTCCCAAATCATGTTTCTTAGAGTTTTGGCCTAAACATGCATATTGAGAATGATTATTATTAAATAAATAAATAAGTTATCTAAAATGTGCCTTGAGCTTATTGTAGTAGAGAAAACGAACTATTTTTACCAAGTAATTGTTATTTCAAGCAACGAACGGAAAACATATAATTTCAACGAGGAGACCTTGTAATTTCGCGTTTTTTTTGTAATACTGCTTTTAAAAAATGTGTCATATACCCCTTTTAAAGTTGTTGGAACATGTATACATACTGGCCGATAGAAAACTGTGTGCTAAAGAAAATGCGTATAAAAATGAAAAACAATAAACACACGTTACATACACTCAGTGTTATTGAAATTTAAGTGTAACCTATAAAATAAAAATATTTAATATTTAGTCGTTATTAGTATTTTGCCTAGTGTTGCATTGCATTCAGAATAGGGCAACGAAACCCAGGGAACCAGCAGCTGAACGACTTTATGGAGAATGAGGGACTCTTTATAATGAACTCTTTCTTCCAAAAGCGGCCCCACAAGGTGAACCTGGTCGAGCCCCGACGGTTCGGCAAAAAATAAGATTGACTTCATTATGACGATCAGACGACAACTGTTCAGTGATGTTTCAATTATCGCAAGGGTTAAAACTGGTAGCGATCACCGAATAGTGAGAGGTACACTGAATCTAAATGTGACGTTGGAGAGGTCACGTCTAATGAGTCAACGCTCCGTCTTCTCATCGGGCATATTTTAAAATCTCAATACTAGATTGTACAAGCAGTGCGTGTTGCCAGTGATGACCTATGGATCTGAGACGTGGTCTTTCACTGTCGGTGTGTATGTATGTATGTATGAGTATGTGGATAGTATGTATGAGGAAG